TCATATATTTGTCCAAAAAATACTTGACCTCCCACCATGTGCCGGGCCATAATCAATGCTAAGGATCTGAGGGTGAGCAAAACCAGACACAGTTCTGGCCCTTATGAAGTTAGTGTCCTAATTGAAGACGGAAGACCGATAGTCACACTAACAATGGTATTATTATTGACTGAGGTAAGTGTTTTCAAGGAAAAGAAAGAGTTACATGACAGCTTATCACAAGGAGATTAACCTAGGCACGGAAGGCTGTCCTGAGGAAGACCGTTGAGCTTGGAACTGTAAGAGGTGTGACATTGTCAGACTTGCATTTTGAATGGATCACCTTAGCTGCTTTATGGAGGGATGTCAGGGCGGGGGAGGGTAGCTAGTTTTTAAGCTATTTAATCAGTCCAGGTGAGACTTGGTGGCCTCTTGGTTGACATAGGGAGTCAGTAAAGATGGAGAGTTGTGTATGAATTAGGAAGATATTTAGGGAAACAAATCAATGATGTTTTGCTATGGATTGGATACAGAACTGGTGGTGATAGAAAATAAATTTTGAAATGAGTCCTAGTTTTCCATCTTGCATGATGAAACAAATCATGGAGTTTTCACAGATGTAGGAAATGCTGAAATTGGACCAGACTGGAATTGGATCATGAATTTTGGTCCTTGACATTGAGTTTGAGGTACCTTTGCAAAATCCAAAGTGGAAATATAGCAGAGTCATTTGGATGGAATAGGATAGAGCTCCTCCCCACCCACCCAGAAGGTGGGAGCAAGTCAGTCAGATTTCTAATGTAGATACACAGATCTTAAACACACACGTGAAAACTATTCAGCATCATTAGTCATTAGAGAAATACAGACTAGGACCGCAAGAGATTAAACACCTACTAAAATGTCTAAAATTTAAAAGACCGATAATACCAAGGGCTGGTGAAGATGTGAAGCAACTGGAACTCTCACATATTGCTGATGGGAATGCAAAATGGTACATTTACTTTGGAAAACAGGTTAGCAGCTTCTTATAAACATCCACCTGCCACATGACCCAGCATGTCCACTTGTAGGTACTAATCCAAGAGACACCAAAACATATATTCCCACAAAGACTTGCAGTAAATGTTAACAGCAGTTTTAATCATAATATCCCCAAACTGGAAACAACTCAAAGGTCCATCAGCGGGCAAATGGATAAACAAGTTGTGGTATATCCATACATTGAAATAATAGCAACAACAAGGAAGAAGCTAGTAATACATTCAACAAGATGACGAATCTCAAAACCATTATGCAAAGTGAAAGCAGCCAGACAAAAGGCTGTACCATTTATATGACAGGCTGGAAAAGGCAAAAATATAGTAACAGAACAGGGGCTGGGGCTGTTCCTGCTAACTCACTGAACTGAACACTTAGACAGGATCAATGTACTGTCTGTAAACTATAACTTAATTAACCTGACATAAGAAAAGCGAGCTCCCTCGATGACTCTAATATTCTGTGTGGGCTAAACTATGCATTCAAATTTTAGAACACTGAAATCGCCTGGAGGTTTGGGGACAGGTTTTTTCCTTTTCCTTTTTTTTTTTTTTTTTTTTTGCCTCAAGTGTTTACTAACACCAACCAAATCTCCAATTCTGTGATTTTCTTACACCAGCTGGGTATCCAGCAATTCAATTCAGTTACAATACTATCTGTACTTAGTGTAGACCCCACAGGTTAAAGGCTCAGTACCACAGGACTGCCCACACTTCAGATGCCAGCTGCACATGGGGTGCCCAGGCTACCCTCCTTTCTGCCCAGCCAACCACAAACTTAAGAGTTCCTAGGTCACCGCCCTCAGGTTTGATAATTTGCTAGAATGACTCCCAGAACTCAGGAAAGTACTACTATTTCCAGGGTATTATAAAAGATACAATTCAGGAACAGACCAATGGAAGAGATGCACAGGGCAATGTGAGGAGAGGGGCACAGAGCTTCCATGTCTGCTCTAGTGCACCACTGGCCCCCACCTCCATGTTCTGGAAATTCTCTGAACCTTATTGTTTGGTGGTTTTTATATCAGTTTTCATTACGTAGGCATGATTGATTAAATCATTGTCCATTGGTAATAAACTCAATTTCTAGCCCCTTTCCTCTCCCTACAGGTGGTGGGGAGGGTGGGCCAAAAGTTCCAACCCTCTAATCACATGGTTGGTTCTTCTGCCTGCCAACCCCCATCCTAAGGCTATCTCAGGGCCTGCCAGTACCCACCTAATTGCCACAAACTCAGATATGGTTAAAAGGGGCTCATTGTGAATAATGAGATACTCGCATCACTCAGAGAATTCCAAGGGTTTTAGGAGCTCTGTACTAGGAACCTAGGACAAATACCAAATATAGTTATCTCTCGGTATCCTCAGGGGATCGGTTCCAGCCACTCCCCCAAAACCCCAGTGGACACCAAAATCTGAGAATGCTCAAGTCCCTTATATAAAAGAACAGTGTTTGCATATGACCTATACACACTCTGCTGTTTACTGTACTTTAAATTATCTTCAAATTACAATATAAATTCTATGTAAATAGTTGTTATGCTGTATTTTTAGAATGTATATTTTTTAATGGTTGTATTGTTATTTTGGTGGATTATTTTCCCCTCAAATTAAGGCCAGGGCTGAGCCCTTCTGTTGGAGAAGCAGAATCTTTTCTTCCTGGGCCTCTGCTGGTTGGGTGGGTGGGTTCGAGCAGCACTACTGATGGGTTTGTTACAGGTCTCCTGCATTCTGCTGCTAGGAGATCCTTGTGCTGCTTGGCCTGTGTAGCTCCTTCATTCAGTTTCTCAGCATTAAACACCCTGTTTTGGTCAGCATTACCTTGCATTTTCCATTCAACTCTATTTTACTTTGACTTTTGATTAATTTGTGTGTGTGTGTGTGTGTGTTGTCATTTATCACCTGAATACTGCCTTACTGTTTCACAAGTCTTTCTTTCCAGACCCAAACCCACTCAGATCTGCAATAGCCCGCCTTTCCTCAGACACTCCAGGAATGGTTCCACAAGTTTCCCGCATCTATGAGTTCAGCTCTCTGAATCAGATCAGGCTGAACATACCCAAATCCACTCCGACTTTTGAGGAATGGGTGCCTGTGTGGTAACAAAAGCGAGTTTAGAAACCCTCACTGGCCCTGCTTTTGTCTCCCTTCCCACATTGGCCCACTGCCTTCACCCCACCCACCAGCTGCCCAGATCCCCCTGGGATTGGACAACACGGGATGAATGTCTCAATCCAGCGGAAGCCTGAACATCCTGGAGCTCCCACCCTTTTCCTGGCTTTGATTGGCCCTGAAAAGGATGGTGGCCAAAGAGGTTGAAGTAAGAAATATGTTTAGGGAAGGGAAAACTTGAGGCAGTTCAGTGAAGTGATTAACAGCATTTGCTTGGGAGTCAGATGGCCCTGGGTTTGAATTCTGATTTGTCTTTTGCTAGTTATATGATTTGGGGCAAGTACATGCCTGTTTCTACTGATGATACCAACCTCCTACAGAGTCAGCACAGTACAATAGTTAGACACATGGATTCTGGTTCCACATTGGCTGGATTTGAATGCTGGCTTGTCATTTAGTAGCTGCAGCCTCGACCTCCTGGGCTCGAGCAAGCCTCCCTCCTCAGCCTCCTGAGTAGCTGGGACTACAGGTGCACACCTCAATGCCCAGCTAGATTTTTATTTCTGTAGAGATGGAGTCTCATGAGCAAATGACTTAACCACTGTGTCCCAAGCAGGGGTGATAACAGTAGATGCTTCACGTGAAATAGTGATATTTCTTATTTGAGACTTCTGAATATTTGTCTAACTACCAAACGAGACCAAAATCAACTTAAAGAATGAAGTGATTCCTGATCTCTAAACATTGGAATCTGAAAAACGCTACAAGGCAGGATCTTGATGACATTTTATCAGCCCTCTATGTGCACATGAGTGTATTTGTAATTTAAAACACATTTAATTGTAGACAACAGAAAATATAGTAATTGTAGGTGCTTTTAATTTTCTCCCAAGAAATTGTTTAATAACATAAAAACAAAATTAAAAAGAAAAAGAAAAGTGAAAGATGGAGTCAGAGATAGCTTAAAACCTGGGTGACCTGGGAGCAGACCCCCCAAAGCAGTTGGTAAGCAGTAGGGAGGTGGGGTGGGGAGAGGAACACACAGTGGAGTTCAGTGGTGTGGTGGGTATAGGATATCCAGGATGATGCCGGGGCAGATGGGGACTAGAGTTCAAGTGTCTTCTTTGTCTCCTTTGTCATTTGCAAACTCAATGCAAAACTGTCAAATGAAACATTAATGACTTTAAGAGTCAATATGACACAGTGAAAATAGGTTTGATAAATGAAGTCTGGAAGAAATCACAGTTAGTATGTGGTAGGTAACATTAGGGGGAAGAGGCTCTCATAGCTAAGTATTTCCCACTGTGTTAATATCAGGAATAACTTCACTCACCTTTTACCAAATGATTTTAGATCATGTGTAAAAGGCAAATGAAATACAAAGAAAAATTAACCTCATAAAATCCTACTTTAAGAATCAGAGAAAGTCTACATTTGGGTAGATGCTGTCTTAAGAATAATTGCTCGTGACCTGGGCAACATGGTGAAACTCCATGTCTACAAAAAAATACAAAAATTAGCTGGGTGTGGTGGTGTGTGCCTGTAGTCCCAACTACTGGGGAGGCTGAGGGGGAGGACTGCTTGAGCCCAGGAGGTTGAGGCTTCAGTGAGCTGTGATTGTGCCACTGCACTCCAGCCTGAGTGACACAGTGAGACTCTGTCTCAAAAAAACAAAAAGAAGAAGAAGAAGAAGAAGAAGAAGAAGAAGAAGAAGAAGAAGAAGAAGAAGAAGAAGAAGAAGAAGAAGAAGAAGAAGAAGAAGAAGAAGAAGAAGAAGAAGAAAAAAGAAGAAGAAGAAGAAGAAGAAGAAGAAGAAGAAGAAGAAGAAGAAGAAGAAGAAGAAGAAGAAGAAGAAGAAGAAGAAATTGCTCATAATTAAAATGTTTGCTCAACTTTATTGAATGTCATTAGATTTATAGGAATCATTAAAGAATTTGATACCAGAGTCCCCCCACCTCCGCCCCCCACAAAAAAGTCAGCGTAAAAGATGCAAGTGAAAGAAGTTTGTCAAGGCAAATGTGTGAAAGAATACATGTGTACCTCACCCTTTAAATGCTTTTCCTGAGTATTCTATCAAGTCTGGGGATCTTTGAATGCTATTAATCTTAGACTGCAAATTTTGTAAAGAAACTCTTTAAAAGTAGGACTTAATTCTCCTCCATAGTGAGTTTCTAAGCAGAGGATACGTGGATTCCTTTGCCTCTTGACAGGCTCAAGTTCCATCCACCTCCCAGGCAGCTTTTTGAGTCTTTCATGGAAGCCTGCTTTTAATATATGCCATAATTTTCTTCTTAATTCAAGCCACATGTTCAAATTTGAGGCTTAAATTCTCATTCTATTATTTTTCTAAGAAATGTTAAACATTAAACAACAAGTATATTATCAAAATACTCCTATATTATTTATAACTGAATAACTGTTTTCAAAGAAACTGTCCTCCCTAATGAATAAGAATGCAAACTCCACGTGTATCTAGGGTTCTGCGAGTGAAGAAGCTTGAGTTCACCCCATCAGCTTCTGCAAGGTTATTTTTACGTATAGTCTCATGCTTATTTGTATGGGGAAATTCTTTTTCCTGGAAAAGGTTTAAGCACAAAACTAAAATCCAGAGCAAGGGTAAGGGAAGAATGCAGGTGTTCTTAGCGGTAATATCAGCATCAGGGAATCTTTCTCTTAGACACTGGAACTGGTGGAGTTGAAGAACTTTTCCTGTGAAGCAGAAACAAAAACAAAATTGTCATGTTTAGAGAAACACAAGAAACTGTGGCTTTCCTCTGGAGATAGCAGGCAAGGACTGTCATGTATACTGGCTTCTAGTTTGGTTTGCTGAGTTGCTGGAATGTGCTACCCCTACTCCATCTGACAAGCAATAATGGTGAAAAACACACGTTTGTCTTAGGAACTTCTCATAAATTCAAACTGGTCCCTATTTCGACTGCTCAGGAAAGGGAATCTCTTCAGTACAAGTTGGAATCTGAAACCCCTTTTTATGCCTGACTTACTTTCTCAACATTTCCATTATTCTCTGTATCCATTCAGCTTGAGGGTCCACACACACAACTGACTTGTTCTTCTTCCAGACTCTGGGAGAAAATAAAAATTAAATAATTCAGTGTTACATTTTAGTTAATCCTATGCTTTTAATAAAGAAAAGAGTTGGGTATGAAACTAATTATTCCTAGATGAAGTGAAATTGGAGCTGGGCAGTTTTGGATCTGGAATAGGTGATTTGTAGCATGGGGTCACAGGAATAAGAAAACAACCATTTGTGGCCCAGTATGTGTGAGCTGGTGGGGTTGAATCCAAAGCTGAGATGGCCTCACATGTCAGAAGTTAGTGTTTTGTTGATAACCTTTACGTGTGTTGGAGAACAACCAAATAACTGACTCCAAGATTGGCTCACTTCTCAAGTTATATCACAATATCTTTAAAATGTGCTTATCTGTTGCATTGCATTTGGGAGAACAAAATAAGCTATAGAATATACTCTCTTGAGAACTCGAATTTCACTGAAGAAAAAATTCAGTACAATTGCACATGGGGGGCATGCTGCAGAGCAGATTGCTTGGAGTGACATCTGCATTTTGTCGAATTACCACTTAGCAAGATTTTTCCTGCTCTAAGATATTAAGCAATAGCAAAACTGGCAATGATAATTAATAGCTAATATTTATCAGGTACTTAAACACACCAGGCCCTATGCTTAGCAGGTAACATGGATTGTTTCAATTCATCTCACAAAAATCCTTTGCTGGAGAAACTATTATTTCCTTACCTTCTGATGATGAACCTAGGCTTAGCAAATTTAAATAACTTGTTCAAGATTGCACAACAAATACGTGATACAGCAGGATTCAATTGAAGATTATCTGACTCCACAACCCACACTTTTCTTCATTGTTTTTCATGAGCATGACCTGAGTGGTTACCAAGTTCCAGACATAGTGTTAAATGCTTTTATCTGCAGTGGAAAAGTGAGGTCTCCCAGATAGCAGAAAACTGGGAGACTCTACCCTTTATTGGTGTGAACTCAAACAAAACACAATTCCCTTATATGTCATTTGTCTTAGTTATAAAGTGACAAACAGCCAGCAGCATGGTAGCTCATGCCTGTAATCCCAGCACTTTGGGAAGCTGAGGTAGGCAGATTGCTTGAGGCCAGGAGTTCGAGACTAGCCTGAGTAACTTAATGAGACCCCCAGCTCTACAAAAATTAGAAAAAAAAAACCTAGCTGGGCATGGTGGTGTGCACCTGTAGTCCCAGTTACTCGGGAGGCTGAGGAGGGAGGCTTGCTTGAACCCAGGAGGTTGAGGCTGCAGTGAGCCATGATTGTGCTACTGCACTAAAGCCTGGGCAGCAGAGTGAGATCCTGTCTCAAAAAAAAAAAAAAAAAAACCTCCAAAACCAAACAATAAAACAAACCACAAAAACCCCAAAACAAAAAAGACAAACAGCAAGGATCCATCCATCTAATTTTGAAACTGCACCTTTGCATGTAAATCTTAGAGACATCAGAGGGCATGGAACAGTTGGGTTTTCAGGCAGATACTTCCAGTTGGTTTCTGAGTTCATGCTGGAAAGACGGATTTCTGACCATCTGGACTCACAGTATTTTCACCTCTGATTGGCATGAATTTCTCATAATAATTTGAAACTTTCATTTCTGTATCTGGTTAATATTCATAAATGCAGAATTTGATGAAAAGATATGAAATCAGGTTTTTGTCATTTCAAAACAATCAACGTTAAAGCAGAGAAAATTAAGATACATTACCTTCCTTGGCTGACAGGCAAGAGACTTGAGTCATGACAGAGGAAATGGAATCAAAAGAAAGGGGTCCCAGTTTTCTAAACAGCCAGGGAACTGCTCCCAAATAAGTCATGGCTAGACTTCACATCTCTGAGTTTGATGGCAATAATTGTAGTTTAGTTAGACATTATTGTTAAAGATATTAGTGAAATGCCTTTTTAGTGAAAACTATAATGCCTTTTTAGTGAAAAATTACCATAAGTTTTTGATATCCCATATTTCAACTGGTCCAAGGCCCCAAGCACTGGTAACAAAATGTGACAAACAGGAAGTAGCTGCTTACAAACATTGCAAAAATCTAAAGAAGTCCATAGGAAGAGCCACTAATGAATGCCAAGTCGGGGATGCCCTGAGTGAGAAGGATGCTGTGCCTAATATTTCAAGGTGTCACAAAGAAGAGGCTTTGGAATGGGGAAAATGTGAATGGAGTCCTGGCTAATGCACTTTCTAATCCTTTCTGATGGTGTGTCTCAGGCAGTTAGTTAACCTTCCTAAGCCTCAGCCTGTAAGGAACAATAGGCTTACCTTAATAAAGTGGCTGAATAAATAAAATGAGTATGTTCATGTAAAGCACTTAGCTCGGGGCTGCTGCAAGCTAAGCTCTTCGTTATTAACAATTCTCATTATTAGTTTGAGAATTTTTAGCAACACTCAAGTAAATCTCTTCTACATTCTTGAGTAAGACTACTGTATGGTAACATTTAATCTGATTTCATTGGGAGAAAGAAATCTTATTTATTTTTTTCTTGAAACTTACATGATTTCTTTCCTTGGACAACCATTCCCACGAGGCGAGATTTGAATTCGATCAATGAAGCGTCTGGGGATAAAGACTGAGCTCTCTTGGACACATCTACACCTCAAGTGTGTGTAATAGACCTCTAGAACACCTGCAAACACAGAATCAGTTATTTTAATCCATTGGCATATAATTTATAACTAGAATTTAATTACTAATCTTTCATACTGTACGTTTGAAGATTTAAAAGTTTCAAGTCAGTGCTTCCACTCATATGTCTTTAGTTTGTATATTTCTGCTTGCCTTGGCTTGAGTATTTTTAAATGTTTTCTACTAATGTGTAGAAACTTTAAAAATAAAATTAGCTTTTAGGCCAGGCACGGTAACTTACACCTGTAATCCCAGCACTTTGGGAGGCCAAGGTGGGAGGATTGCTTGAATCCAGGAGTTTGAGACCAGCCTGGTCAACAAAGGGAGACCCCATTTCAAAAACCAAACAAACAAAGCAAAGGAAAACAAAACAAAAATTAGCTTTTAGAAAAACACAGCACTTTTTGACATTTGTGATAGTGTTATATTTGTACTCAGGTGATTGTCCACGTAATAACATTTGAGAACAGCCTCTGTAGGGACTTACAACACAGTTATAATTAATGCAGTATAAAACCAATGGGTTATCGTCACTCCCACCACATAAAAACCGAGGACATGACCTGGCTCTAGAGTCCTGGGAGCAATAACATGCTGGAACAGAGTTTTCTCTATCAGACTCTCTGCCACCCTCCCCTTTCCTCTCAGAAAATGTCACAAACGTTTTTGTTTAATATGTTGGTCCTCTGTCTAGGTTGCAAATCATTACCAAACAAAAGGCAATCATAAAAATTCAAAACTCTTTTTATTTAATAAAAGCGATTAATGCTGGATGGGTACCATTAGTACCCATCTCATGAATTTTAATGGGATCTAATGAAATCTAAGCAAAAGACATTTTTCAGATCTTTTCTATCCAGCCTACTACTGTGCTTGACATACATTTATAAATAAAAAGGCTCAACTCTCAGGATGTGTATAATTTAGTAGGGGAAACAAGCAAACAAAAGCTAAAATACCACAGAAAGTTGTATTACGCTCAACATCTAATGTGTGTGCTGAGAACAGAAGATGTAGTAAGAGTTACCTCTGCCGGGAGCCATGGGAAAGCCCCATGGAGAAAGCAAGAAATTAGGGTTTTGAAGAGTGAAAATAACATGTGAAGCAAAATTAAAACTGGGGAGAAACCTCCTCTGTGTTTTAAGAACAAAAATTTGGTCTTCTAAATCTGAACAGAAGGCTTCTTTCTGCACATGTATCCATTCCTTCAGCCACATGAAATTTACTACTTCAACTGGATATTTATCTATTTACACAAAGATAGCTGCCCCACTTAGACATGGAAGTCTGCTTCTTTGCAGAATGTGTGTAAATACCCCTGGTGTACTCACAATGGTGTACTCGATGTCAGATCTAACCACCTGGAATTACATGAAGCATGTTCACTGCAAGAGACCAGTAGAGTTCAATAATCTTTAAACCCTATATAGGGTTTGGTCAGAGTGGGTAACATTGAGAGGCAGAACAAAGAAGAGCTACATGTAAAGAATTATATATAGCAGGAGCGGAATCTGAAAAAGGCTGGGAATATACAAGCCTAATATAATTCACATGAATATTGGACTTCTGGTATCTCTTTTTTCTATAAATAAAAATCTTAACAATATAAAGACTTCCAATTTTGAAGAGTTAAATTCCTAAACACCTTACTTTGAGAAATCTAGAAGCAACAGAGCAGTTTTTTCCCCCTTTAGTTAGACTTCCCTGCAGTTTTTAATTGAAAGAAAATTGAAGTGGTTAAAGACTATTTCTGTTCAACAAACAGTGAAACATAAGTGAAAGTTCTCACCTTGGACTGGAGAGAGGCTGCTGACCAGCAGCATGAGAAGCAGAGATGCCGAGATGAACTTCATTCTGTCTGGAGGTAGAGTTCAGACTTGAGCTCTGAGTCCAGGCTGTGGGTTTTCAGTACCAGAGACTCCTATTTATTTATACCAGTAAGGGCCCTCCCACTGCCTTTGTCTCTAGTAGGTCAGCTGCATCATCAGTTTTAAAAGCCCCCAAATATTGCTGAGCTTGCTTTTTTAAAACTTCTCTTGCAAACTTTATAAATTTGTTTCAGAGCACTATAATAAAATAGTTCTTGCAAACGTGGACTACAAGTGCCAGAGATGCTGGAGAAATCTGAGGGTGGGAGAAAGGAGTATCTATCAGCTTGGAAGCTCCGAAGCACTGTCTTTAGTAGCGCTATTGGTGATGGTGGCTTTGATTGCTTCTCTCAGTGCAGGGTGAGCCAGGTTTCTCCACGGCATTAGATATATACTCCATGACATTGGGGACTCCATCGAGCACATCACATCCCTAGCATGTGGAAGGGATTCCGGCCTTCGGTAGGTGCTCAGTAAATATTTGCACACCAAATGAATGTCTCTTTATATACAGATCCTAACGCTGATTATGCTATTGATTTTCCTACCAGTCTTTTCCATCTCTTATTTTACTATCTGAAATATATGATTACTTATGTAATCTGACCATCATGGAATTCTTAGAAGGGGGCAGTAGGCGTCCCCTGCTTTGTGTGCCTGTGTCTGCATGAAGGGAGGGAGACAACAGCCTTGAGGAAGAGAATCTCTCCGGCTGTTGTGTGTAAGTCCCTGAGCTTGAGAACCATGTGGCAGGGGAGGGAGTCATTAGAACTACATTAGAGGGTGAACCCCATATTACAGTCTGTTTGACATAAGTATATGTGAAGTTTGGTTTTGATCCCACCAACTAGTCCATGGGGACAATCAGCCCACAGCCTATCCCATTTTCTAGGAGCTCTTTGATTAAAAAAAAAAAAAAAAAGTATGTAGACAGTGTCTAGTCTGGCCTAGAGTACCACTAAACTGCCCTGGAAGTGGACAAGGATGATGTATCAAACCAGACCCACTGAACTGCTAAGAAATCAGAGGTGTGGGCTTCCTGGCGTGATTTCCTAAACAATTTGGTTTTTGCTAATCAATTAGCATTGTGGATGTTTAGCATCCCAGGTGCCTCAGTATGCATGGGGGTGGAAGTGGAGGAGTGGTAATGCCACACAACCTTCACACAAAAGCAGTTCTCCAGTCAGCCTGAACGCAGTGACAGGGCACTCATTGATCTTGAGGCAGCCCATTCTATTGTTTGGCAGTTCTAGTTGCTAGGATGTTCTTCCTTATGTATATGTGAAAGCTGCTTCCCTAGCAGTTTGCTTATGCTTGTGTTGTGATAAAGGGTTGAATTTTGTCCTAATTCAACCCCTTATCACAACACAAAGCAATTCTAAACAGTCTTCTATATGATGCAATCCAAATATATGAAGGCAGAGTGTGCCAGTTGCGTCCTCTGCAAAGAAGATGCTGCAATGGACATTGGAGTAAAAGAAGGTTATTCAGAACAACTCCTGCGATAGACAGGAGGAGGAAGGAGAATTGGGCAGGGAGAGTCTCAGATTGCAATGCTGATCTGGTGAAGTCTACAACAACTCAGTGGGGAGCTCCAGAAGAAAGACTGTTTATTAGAGGGGCCCATTAGAGGGGCCCACAGTGGGCAGAAATGTTCAGACTCTGCTACCCCTGCCGTGCTTGGTCCTTAGCTGGGCCTCCTCAGATACAACACGGTCTCTGGTTGAAAGCTGAAGCAGAACCTGAGGAGGTTATCAGTAGAGGCTGTCAGCTAACTGCACTCCTTGCCGCTGGCCAGCAAGTTATTTCTTTAAGAGAGAGTTGAGTAGGGCACCTTTGAGTGTCACTCAGGGTTATAAACTAGAGGTTAACAGCACAAAGTCTGAGCTCACCCTGGCAATGACTTTGGACAGGTCACTTAATTTCTCTATGCCTCATATTTACCACTTTCCACATGAGGATACAGGAATTCCAAAGGATTGTTTGGAGAAGAAAGCACCTGGTATATGTAGAGGGTTCAGCCGAATACTGGCATGTAGAATGTATTCAATAAATAGCCTGCCTGTCTATCTGACTATCTAATCTGTTCGGGGGAAAAAACTGCTCATCGCTTCTAGATTTCTCAAAGTAAGGTGTTTAGGAATTTAACTTTTCAATACATCCACTCCCCCATCCATCCATCCATCCGTCCGTCCGTCCGTCCATCCATCCATCCATCCATCCATCCATCCATCCATCCATCCAAGATCTTACTAACTTCCACTCCAAAACCCACTTTGAAAGTAAATACTCCTATTTCTTTGAATTTGTGACAGTTTGAAACTCTCTCACCATCTTGGTTTACCCTTTTGAAACCTGTTGATCTTTTCCATTGTTCCTCATAAGTTATAACTACCTTCCCTTTTGCCTCCCCATCACCCTCTCTGACTCACAGCCACAGACATGCATACACTTACATGCACACATCTGAACATTACGTTACCTCAAGTATGGCTTTGCCAGTACGAGCTAGAGGAAACCCATTACCTCCTTTGTTCTAGCACTATTCTATTAATAGATTCCTAGATTGAATAGCATTATTCTAGTCATTTATATTGAGTTGGGAGGCAATAACATTCCTGTTTTTGAAAATGGTCAATTTCTTACAGTGTCTAATTCATTTTACTCTTGTGTGATATAATCTTGAGACCCAAGTATAGAAGTTTTACATTTGCCTCTAAGTACTATATATTTTCTTGTGAGAGCAAAAAAATGAGTGAAGCTGACAAGAACTGGAAGAGTATAGGGACAAAGTTACCTGAAAGAGAGCTCTGAATATACCTAGGAAACTCCTAAATTGGCTGCTATTAAAAATAGGACCACGAGGTCAAAGAACTAATTGCAGAACAATTCTAAAATCTGACTTTCGTTTCTTTAATGCCAAGAGTTCTGGATTTAGCTTATTTAGATCTAAGAAGCCTTATTCATGTCTGCCCCAAGATGGGGCTGGAGGTTGGGCAGCTCTCAGATAGTCAGATGATTCTAGAAGTTGCAAGTCCAACACTACTTGATATCATCTTATGGTAGGGGTATACATTTCAAAAACTCTGATGCCAAGAAGAAAAAATATTTAAACAAATAGATTTAAAACTCAAATGGAAGCCATTTATTTTTAAAATAGCTTTTATAGATATCCTTGTTTAGAAACATAAAAATATATAACTTGGTTTATATCAAACCTGATTTTTATCATCAGATACATAAAATGATAAAATTATAGGGAAGATTTTTTTTGCTTCACTTTGGAATCAAATCAAATATTCTTTCCAGATCCAAGAACAACTGGGTAATTTAGAACCTTGGTACTTATATTGCAATCCAAGGACTGGCATCACTAACTCCACCCGAGAGCTAGTTTAAAATGTAGAATCTCAGGCCCTGCATTCAACAAGAGTCTCAGGAGGTTTGAATGCATGGGCCTGGTCTAACATAAGCTGCATAGTTTGCTGTGACATGCTGTTTCTGCATAAAGATATACATATTCAAACTATCTTCAGAGATATGTTTGGACAAGTCATTCCCTCAGAAAATGACACACAGATACCTTATTTTAGTAAAAGTGGACAGGACAAATCCACTCTAGATGTCAGTACTCACTGATATCTAAATGCAGAGCAGTGACAAGAAGGAAACTCTCTCTCAAGATACCAAAAAGTAAAATGTCACTAAAATAGTGAGATGGCATAACTGGCCAAAGTATCTGACAATCTAAATAGTCAACAGGTATTAAACGAGAGTTAACGGTAGCGTTTCATGGTGATTACATAGTTTGTAGTAAGAGATAAGACAAATGTCACTGTGATACAGTTGAGAACATTTTCTTTCAAGTCACTCAACTAGAAAACAGAAACTTACTGTATCTTGTTAACATGTATTTTAACCTGCTGAACATCTGACATCTATTTGCTCCCACATAACTTTCAGCATAATAGAAAAGTATTATAACCTTGGAGGTGAGAGCTCAGGCTCTGAAATCAGACTGGCTGGGTTTGTATCCCGACTCCAACACTTATTTGCCTTGTTAACTTCTCCAAGCCACTAGTATCAGTAACACCATCTCAGGGGATTGTGTAGGTTACGTAACAGTGCTTGGAAAGTGTTTTATTCAGTGTTAGGCAAATAGCAAACACTTCAATAAATGTTAGCTGTTTCTTTTTAACCTTTGTGAAAACACAAAAACGTGAAGTACATGAAAAAGTAACTTTGCTCAGTTTGCAAGTGAAGTTCCTGACGTGAATTAAAATGTCACTTAGGTTTCCGGTAGGCACATAGGTGATATCTTGAGATTATGACTCCAGAGTCCTCTGGTTAAAGAGCTGTTCTTCTTTGACACTGATCATCCACATTTTGTTTTTACCTACTCTCCTCACAAGATACTTGTAGAGGTTTATATTTCGTACAAATGTACTGAAGTTTTACACAGAAGGTGTTTTATTTTTTGTCATCATTTTATTTTTATTTCACTATTTTTAAAACAGCTTTATTGAGGAATAATTGATGTAAAAAGAACTGCACATATTCAGTGTGTGCAATTGGATGAGTTTGGACAATGCAAACCCTGTGCATTTTGCCATCATTTGCATCTTGAGCGAGCCGCTTTCAACAGCCTATTTTTTGCCACACCGTGATTTCAAGACCTATACCTGCAGAAAAGACATTTTTCAAAGGTAATTAAATTCATATTTCAAGTGTTGTTTAAACCCAACTTAAATGCAGGGAATCCACCTGCGTTAAACGCAGGGAAACCGCCACAAACCTAGAGTGTGTGTACTGAAAGCTATTACCTTGTAGGGTGGTGATTCCCCAAGAGACTGCTAGATGGCAGCATTACTTACAGAAACAGTTCGCAGGAAGGAAAAGGTCTGTCCTCAGGTAAAGAAGACCCTGCCTGTGTGCTGACCAGAAGGGGTGTGTTGCATTATTTCAAATTTCAAATCATTTATTTGATTTGGCTTATTGCTTTAAAAATATTGTGAGGTTTGAGATTTTTTTGATTAGGCTGAAATATTAATGAAGGAGGGGAGAAAAACCCCTAAAAATCTGAAATAATCCAACAAATTCTTGCCCAAATCCGACTCCTTATTCCTGAGGTTGCAAAATCAGATTGCACATTGGTCCTCTGGCATGAGATCACATTCGGCCTCAGCAGTTGTTGGGCTTTACCTTCTGTGATTAGAAAGATTTCTGAGAACAGCGAGGCCACCACGTACCAATGTTAAAGTGATCAAACAATTGTGCTTGTGCTTTTAAAGCATGGTGCATGCAGTGAGCGTTAGCAAAAGAATCATCTTGTTTCTCCTCTACTGATTCTATAATGTAATCATATGTCATCATATATAATCATGAGTCATGTAGATAATAAGTAATCATCTGCTTTTTTCATTCCGTTTATATTTATGTTATAACCATGAGTGGAGACCTGGACATTATAAATAAAAGTCAATAGTTTTGTTTTCCAGTAAGAGAACGCTTATGCAATTTTGAAAGTTTTTGGCATATCACTTTGTTCCCTTAATATCTGC